TAAGGACATTTTTTTTGAAATACAATTAAAATGTGCTATAGTAAGATGTTTGATTTTTAGTACAGGATTTGGGGGTTTTTTTTTTCCAGTTCCAAGGTGGCAGCCCCTCTCCCCCCCACCAAAGGAGCACTTCTGGGGAAAGGAAGGGGATTTGTGGCAACAGTCATGGGTTAGGTGTGGGACTTCTGGTCCCAGATGCTGATCAGCAGGAGGGGCACTGGTCAGGGTGGAGAGCTCCCCTTGAGGCCCTCAAAGCTGTTAAGTGGCCCTCCAGCTGAGATAACTGCCCACCACTGCTCTGAAATCTACTTTTACTCCATGCTCCCTCTTTCCAGAGACTAAGCATGTCATTCTGTAGGGACAGATCCCTTGTATTTAGCATTCTACAAGCAACTGAAAAATGAGAGGCACATCTAGAATCCATTCCTAACAGACATCAAAATACAATGGAAGATGAATTGCTAGTGCTAACCATCCACCTCTGAATTAGGATTCTAGCTGCAAGTCCCCTTTGTTGCTAGAAACTCTCTTTCAAAGAAAACAACAGTCTCCCTGAAATATCACACATCTGAAGTTGATTCAGTAGCCACAGTTTCTTCTTGGAAACTCTAACGCTAAAAGTAATACTAGCCTCCTGCCCATTATTGATATTACCACTGATGAATTCCCAGGAAAAATAATTCAAAGGGTGGAACTAATTCTTCCAAGAAATTTAAGGAAAAAAAACAGATATTTATAATAATGTTGGGAAAAGCACCATTAGAAAAGAAATGAGGCAAAAAGTATTGCTGTTTTTGGAGGCTGATGTCTTTAAAAAAAAAAAAGGATATTTTGGGAAATGTTCTGTAGAATAAAATATTTAACACTCCGTGGAAAAAAGCAAAATAGTGTCCAAATCCAAGTAGAATTTTCAATTTGAACAGTTTTACTACTAACCTCTCTGGTATAAAATTCAACAACTTAATTCTGAAGCTATCCAGTATGTGTTTATTCATTGTGCCTACTCTATTTTAGTGAGCTTGAGCACAGATACAGTCGACTACTCTGAAGTTTTCATAAGCAGAATACAAGGTAAGTTCTCTTTGATGATATATGAGAAAACAAATTATAAAATATTTAAAAAAAGAGAACCTCTACTTCTATAGGCTTGTGCTAGCATGAGCACTGAGCCTGCACTGGAAGAAAAGCAAATATATGGCAGCCTTTCAAATAAAGAAAAAGAAGAAACGTTTTTTTCTTTGCTTCAGGAGGTAGGACCTGTGCCAATGGATTTAAAAACTGGGAAAGCAGATGCAGACCAAAACTAAGGGATAACTTTTTACAGCCAGGGAGGACAATAGAACAAGTTACCTGGAAAAGTTGTAGATCTCTTCCTTGGAGGTTCTCCAAGGCTGGATAAGCCCCTATCTAGGATGGTTTAAAAATTGCAAGTTCTGGATCCTTGTAGTAGCTAAGACTAGATGACTCTTGATGCTCCTTCCAGCTGTATGATTCTGTGATGCAAGTATTCAGATGTTAATTTTATGGCCTAATTATTTAGTAGCCAGATGATAGAAATCAGTCTTTTCTGATACTAATTCAAGAGCAAGTCCTTCTTTAGCATCTTGACAGTCCAGTTTATTACATAAAAAACAACTCCCTTGTTCACTTTGTGGAAAATGTCTCTTCCTAGCTACGTAAGTGTATTGCTTGAAAAGAACATGCATGACTTAGCTATTTAAATTGATTAGTCATCATTGAAATACAAATACATTTTAACAGTAACATTTCAGTTAGTCAGAAATGGCCATCACCCAAATGCCTAACTGAAAAAAAATCATAAAGAAGTGTACTTGCACATAAACAAGTATCACTATCAAAGATATTACATGCCTTTGCTTTCCAACTGACTTTTTCTATAGTTAAGGTTTTTTTAAATACTGCATATTAGGTTCTGTTTATCTTCCCTTTGCAGCAAAGACCAGAAACTGTCACAATGCATCAGTGACCGCTGTATTACGTAGTTTTAAACAGGATTTCTTCCAAGAGGCTAGATTCCTAGGACACATCTTTTAGCCTACAACAAAGAGAGGAGCAGAACCACACTTGACAGATCAGGTTGGGATTTGTCATGCACAGGCCACCAATTAGAGAACTTCCCCAAACAGAAAGGTGTGCCCTCATTTCATACCTACGGGGCTCTGAAACTGAATGGGATTAATGCTTTCCATGGACAAACCTGGTTTTGTCCCCCTCTTCAGCAGAGGCAAGAAAACCTTTATAAAGAATTAGGATTTGATAAAGAACTGATGCACCATACTGCTTTAACAGCATCAAATTTGAAGGATGCCACAGGCACTCTCCTAGCCATGTAAATAAAAAGGAATGTGGTCTAAGAAAGCAAAATGGGGCACTAAGAATCTTAAGTTCTGGCTAGCTTTTCATTTATGCCACTGATGGTTCAGTGAAACAGCTTGGGAAGAAAAAAATCAGTTCAGACATAAAAATGTGGGGAAGAACCCAAACCCTTTTATTAGAGAGATTCTAATTTATACATTTTTAGCTGCTGTAATGTAGTTGGTTAAAAAGTCCTTCAGTTTAGAAATGTGCATCATTTCTTTCATGGTGGTGTCTCTGCTTCTCAGCTGGACTATTCCATTTTCCAGAGTAGCATCAGTGATCAAGATTGTGAAGAGGATGCTCATCTCATCATACCTGCCAAAGAATGAGTGCACCCATTACAACATTATAGCTTTGGTGTACAACAGACAACACAGACTGCGGTTATGTTGTACTGTGTCCAATACACAGCATGTTGTACTGTGTTCCTTTCTCACTTTCATCACCTTGACCTTCTAGTTATATTGCTACAAGTTATTAGGTTTCTCTGGAACAAAAGGGGTTTTATTTAGTAACCTATAATAGGAATATTTTTATTGGCGAAATAGTAATTCTTCTCCTGCAGTTATCTAGTAGACAAGCTTTATTTTAACTTACTAACTTTGCTATATTAAAATAGTATGTGTTTTTTGCTTCTTAGTGAAAGCTCAATTAAAATTAAGAGGAAAAAGCCACAGATGACAAATTCATTCAACTTATCATTCCTCCAAAGTGTAAATTATGGACCAGTTCTAGGAAAACTTAATGGCACAAATCACAATCACTTGTGCAGATAATCTGCTGAGAGAATTATGCAACTGGTAAGAGTCTCAGTGAACAGTAAATAATTACAGTTTCAAATCACTTGCTTACACATGAAATACAGAAGTGGGTCCACATGCAAAAGCAGTTGTAAGCTTTTTTTTTTTTAAATATAGATTAATTATGTTATTAAACACTATTTTTCACAGGGACTTCCTCAAATGTTTTACTGTTTTCCACTCAAAAACACAACTAGTTTTAGTATCAATGAGAGAATAGTGTACTGAAGTTCTTTAGTTATAGCGATCTTTGTGGTAATAAGCTCTCAAACAAACAAACCAACTACTGTTTTCAGACATTTTTTCCCTGTTCTCTGTGACTTTGCACAGAAGTTCAGCTAATGTTTGCTCTTTTATTAAAAGGCATTTCTATCTGACCATTTGTTTTATTTGCCAGACTGTGTTCCCTTACTTTGTGTAAAGTTGTTCCTGAGATGTCTGCAAGGTGTCAAGATATCCAGGCCACACAGAAATTCCATTTTCTATCAATTCGGTGAATAGTCCCTGACAAACCTATATATACACATATAAAAAGGGATTTGAATGATTTGATGATTTGAAATATTCAGAGAAACATATCTGTTTTACACAAAAGCTCAAATATAATGTTTAATACAATATTGATTTATATACAGTAATACACACACTCAAAGGAGAGCAATAATACTAACATCTCAATTTTCATATATGCCTTACAACTCAAAAACTATGCTCAGATGCATCTTTTCCATGCTCATTTCTTAAAACGACAATTAAAAAAGCATCGTTTCTATCTGAAGATTGTATTTATGTTACTGAAATGACTAAAAAGGATTAGAGATATTTAGGGTACACATTTAATACCGAAATATGTTTAAATAAGCAAATACATACTATCTGGCATTTAATACCTAAAATTAGAAATAGCTAAATTAAATACTTATTTTTGTTTGCTCCGAATACAGTTAGTTGTATTGTTTTATACAGTTTTATAAATGCTGCCAAAGACAGCATGTATTCAAGCCTGAAGTATTCTCTATTACTCCCCCAAACCTCATTTCTATTTAAAAAAAAAATCCATTGGAAATATTCCCTAACAACTAAGCCCCACCCCCTGCAGAGTAGCAAAGCAGCAAAATTTCTCCTAGCTGGACCAAGAAATCCAGAACCCACCACCAGAATTATAAAGTAAGAATACAGAGAATTGCACAATCCAACGTTTAGTCATTATATACCTGTCTCAGATCCATTGCTGGGCCTCTTCCCATGTCCACGGCCACTTTGATTGGCGTTAAGCAAGGGTGAAGCTTAAGCACCTAGAAACATCAGACAAAGCAACAGGTTACTCCATAAAAACACTAAATGTATAAAACAGAAATAAAAGAGTATTATGAGCATTTATATTTTTGCTAGTAAAAAAATGACTGCTTTGCTGAACAAACAATATATATTCCACATGTACAGACATGTTTTTACTATACAAAATCCTAGGTTAAGATAAAGTGAGTCAGATGCCATGCAGCACTAAAGTTGCCTACATCACAGAACAGCCTTTGGTGGTATAAGTATGCCACTACAGCCCCTAGCAGAGACAAGGTGTATGCTGACAAAAGGTGTTTTCTACCAGCATCACTATACCATCTCCTCCAAATAAAATTAAGGCAATAAAAACTATTTTCTGTCAGCACAGCTGCCTCCACACCATGGTAGCTGACTAAGCAATGCTGGTGAAGGTCTGTGATTTTTTTCAGCAGAACTCTGTGGTATAGACCTTGTCTCAGTAGCTTGCTATTTTCACAATCCTTTATCTCCAGGCATGCTAAAAGGAATCACCTGTCTTTGTGAAGTTTTCTTGCCTAAAGAACTCTCAGCCAACTGCAAGGAGTCACAGAGATATGCCAACACTCCTTGGTCCAGATTGCCAGTCACAGAGAGCACGTGAGGAACAACATTCTTCCTTCCATCTCGGGCCTGAAGAAAAAAATTAAATATCAACCCTCAAAAACAATGTTACTTAAAATGTGCATGCACTCATACACAGAGGCACTGATCCCAAACTCAGCTCCCTTGATCTATTCAAGACCAAATGCATATTCAAAAAGCTACCAACCACATGTACAGCTTCACAGTAGATAGCTGTAACTAATTTAATTATAGCAAGAAACAGGAGAAATACCAAGCCTTTACTAAAATAAATATCTCCCCCCACCCTTCCCAAGAAGACCAGCCTTACAACTTGCCCTGTGATCAGCATATTGGGGCTATTTCATACCCAGGCAGGAACTGGGCTCCTTGGAAAATCTTCCTGTCAGCAGCCATTATATCAGACTGCCAACATGAGCAACCTTTGCCAATCTCGTACGTGGCAGAGAAAAAGGAAAGCTCTTGGATTTTGCATGTTGACACTGAATGAAGATTTATTCCACAGGTGGAAAAGAAACAAGCAACTAGTGCAGATCTCTAAGAATTACTGTAACACTGAACTGAAAACTCTGAACTGGAAGAGTGCAAGACGAAAGATCTGCGTCTTTTTGAAGGAATGCATCTCTAGTAGCAGAACCCATAGCTTTTTGTCTATCTGTTGAATCTCGTAGCTACCCGCTGAAGAACAAGTATTTGTATATAAAGCTTTCCAAGTAGAAAAGTGTAAATGTTATACTAGTAAAAGATACTCTTAGAACCTGTAGCCAGAACTTCTTTTTAAACATATTAAACCTATTAACGGGCTGAAATTCAAAGTTCATAAAAATCAAATAGCAATGAGGCTTAGAGAAATTTTCCCCAATCATCCAGAACTCTACCCCCCACCCTTTAGTTTGCTAGAATTGCAAGCTGCTATCCTGACTTAATCCACATAAGATCCCTTCACTTGCTGTAATATTCCTATGCAGTACTGAAAAACTGAATGATGTGCATTAAAATGCTTATTCATAAGCTACAATATATAGCAGGACATTTAAATTATTGCATGGGTGCACATGGGAAAGGTTTCTCTGGCTTGCTCTCATTTTGTTTGTCTAAAGATGGCATTTTCTACAGAAGCAATTATATCATTTCAGTACATTAAGCCACTCTCTATCAAATACCAAGCATTTCAAATGGCTGAGTGAGAATGACCTTTACAGTTCATTTTTATGTCAACTTACGGCTGATGAAAGATACAGTCTGACAGCAGTTGAATGCTACCCAAGGAACAGGTATACAGCATAGGCCAGACAACTTTCCCCCCACTACCCTGCCAATGCATCTCAATGTTAATATTAAAAAAAAAAAAAATCAGGTCTGGGAGTGAGAGAATAATTTCACTTCAGCTTCCTTCTCTCTGCTTTTGAGGTCTGTTAAATGCATAGTCTAAAATGCCATGACACCCCTTTATTTTAAAAGAACAAATGCCATTTACACATTAGGGGAACATTTGTATCTCTTCTCAGTAACTTACAAATAAAACAAAGTGAATCTTACCCGTAATTTTGAGCTATCCCCCGGATACATTTGTAGCAATTCTTTATCTCCCAGATTCTGCAACCTTTCTATCAATTCCTTTCCCCAAGGAAAGCTGTAGTACAAGTTAACTCCTCTTCTTCCCTCTTCATCCTGAAAGTCGCTGCTGGTGAAGTTAGATGGACCTATTGCAAACTGAAAACAAGAGGTGGTTTAAAAAGGAAGTCCATCTACTGAGCATCTTAAATGAATTGCAATCTTTTAAAAAAGGAAGGGGGGGGGGGAAAAAAGAAAAAAGAAAAACAAACAGACCTCTAACCCTTCATGAAAAATAGAGATTATAATTCACAGTGCAAAGTGTTACCTCAGATGCAACACCCTAATCTTAAAGTTACTTAAGAAAATGAAAACTTTAATTTGGCTAAATCACATCAACATCTGCTTGGCAGCATTGTTATGCACTTGTAAATAGCTTTTTACCTCAAGAGTGGCTGCATTTCAGCAGTGAATACGTGCCAATATCATTATGTTGTAAACATAAAGCTGTGCTCTTTACCCAACCCCCCCCCCCAAAAGATAAATATTGCAAAAACTTTCTATCTTAAAAAAGAAACAAATACCATATATACCTTTCTCCACCACTGGAGCCTCTGGCGTAACCAATAATCAAGCCACTGTCCTATAGTTCTGGCGGAGCTAAACCACACAAGGGAAGACATTGTCCTTTCGCCTGTTCTTTAAACAATAGCAAGGTGAGCAAGTTAACTCCTTTAAAAAAAACAACAAGGGAAAAGCAAGAGACATAATTCAAAAATGTAAACCAGAAGTAAAAATAGTCAGCATTCTTTTAAATATAAAAAGAAAATCTATCAGTTGTCATTTCTGTACCTCGTGATGCTCTCATCTGGATTCTCAGAATCTGGTTCACGATGAAAGCAAACTCCAACCTGAGCAAGTCCATAAGGCAGCCTCTTGTTTACCAGTTCTAGACAACTGACATATTGCTCAAGCGCACCTGTCAAGAGACAAATTGTTCATACCTGGAACTATGAGAAGCATCTTAATTATTACAAGCAAAAGTAATGCTTTCCAACATATCCACAGAAGACAGCTGCAGCCCAGGTACCGCAAGGAGGAAAGGGGTAAAAGTAATGACATTTCAAGACTAAACAGGCAAAGTATGTGCAGAACTTGATGGCAGCACATGTTTTTCAGAATCAAGGTAGATTTGCACCTTAGCGATTAACTAAATCATAGATGCATAATAAGCCTCTCTCCTGATTCTAAACACTTCTATTTAGAGCAGTGATTCTCAACCAGGGTACATGACACCTTGGAGTACCTTGAAATCATTTCAAGAGTGCCCCAGGGTGACATAAAATGTTAGCACTGTTAGATTTGTAAACATGATTCACAGGACAAACCCAGAGATTTCACATAGGAATCTACAGTATTAAAAAATCACTGTTGTGGTTTTTGAGTTCTTTGCAACAGAACTACTCTATTTTTCCTTAGTCAAAAAAAGGAGTGAAAAGAGCTGGAGTTTTCTGATGGGGTGCTTCAAATCTATCGAAGGGGGCTTTAAGTCTCAAGAAGCTGAGAAACACTGATAGAAAGTCTGCATTTCCCCCATGGGCAAAAATGTAGGTAACAATGTTAGTCTGAATGCAAGGAGGGAGGGAGGGAGGGAGGGTGTGTGGGCGTGTACGTGTGAGCTATATCGATATAACACAAGCTTTCCTAAGCTAACGTTCACTTCATCAGTGGCTAAGACACTTGGTTGCCTGCTATTTTGAAGTCAAGTAGAAAGCAAGGTAAACTTGCACTTTATAGACCAACCAAAGTGCGTGCTATGGGTGCACTGAAAGATTTTTCTGGCTAATACCGATGGCCAATTATTATCCAGCCATATCAGCCAATACCAATGTGATAGCCAACATTCAGTCCTGCAGCTTGGAGAGCAGTGACCTGCCAGTAAGTCTGTGGGGGAGAGAATGGGTGTGGGGGGGACAGGGCAGGGCAGAGGATGGAGCTGCAGGTGGCTCATGCAGTGGGTGTTGGGAGAGGTGGGCGGCTCCCTGCCACTGCCCACACCCCTAGAGGAGGCATATACCCCCTGGATGTGTGTGCAGGGCAGGGGTGGGCTATCTGCTGTGGGCTCAGGGGCTATACCAGCCTCTTCCTGGTGGAGGGCTGGATAGGGGGCTACAGTGAACTCTGGGGTGGCCACAGCCCCCCTGTAACCTCCCCTCCCAGTGCTGTTGCTGCCCGGCCTATCCCAAGCAGTCTCAGCCCAGACCTACTTCTCAGAAGAGGCTGGCGCAGCCCCTGGTCCCACACCTGCAGTAGGCAGCTTGCCCTTGCCCCACACACAAATCTGGGGTACAAGTGCCCCCCCATGCCTCCTCTGGGGGTGCATGCAGCAGCAAGGAGCCACCCACCCATCCCCATGTCCCCCACACGAGCCGTCTGCGGCTTCATCACACACCCCACCCCAACTGGGCGGCACCTGCTCCAGCCCCACTCCCTCCCTCACTGTGGGGGCCTTGATCTGCCCCATGCCCCTTCCCACCCATAGACCTACCGGCCAAGTGCTGCTCACCAAGTTGCCGGGCTGCACTTCTGGCTGCATGCATACACACAGCACTTGTCGATGACATTATTGGCTACACCAGTCAAAAAAAGCCAACTGCTAATAAAATGTTAATTTTCCTTTTATCGGTGCCAATCCAATATGGACTGATGTATCAGTGCACCTCTAGTGTCTGCATGTACGTATATACGCGTGTAAATCAACAGATACAGCATAAAATTTTCTGAGCTGAAGCTCCCTTAATCCCATGCTGTTCAAGGGACAGCTAGTCTGAAGTCAAGTAACAGCTAAGGTATGTTTTCACTGTATAGACTAACCAAAGTGTGTCTATGTCTGTACACACACACACACCCCCATCTATATATCTATATATATCTATATAGGCAAGCCTCGCTTAACGCTGTTTCACTTAGTGCCACTTCGCTTTAACACTCATTTAAAATTGGTACCTGATTTCACTTGGCGCTCAGTGAGTTTAATGCCTGCGGGCGCTATCTTGACCCATTAAAAAAAACTTGCGGTCACTATCTTGGGTCATCAAATACTTTCAGTTTCACTTAACGCTCCGTTTTTCCAGGAACCAATTAAGAGCGCTAAGCAGGGGGTGCCTGTATATATCTCTGTTGCTATCTATATAGATATAGAGCTATAGATATATAGATATTGCTATAGAGATATCTATATCGCTATATGTATGTACATATATACACACAAACATGCACACGTGTGTAAATAGATGGAGAGAGATAGAGATGTAGCCCACACTTTCCTGAGCTGAAGCTCAGCTCATCACATGTTGCCCAAGACACAGTTGCCAGCTAGCCTGAAGTAAAAGGCAGGATAAATTTTCATTATAGACTAGCCCAAGTGCGTATGTGCGCATGTGCACGCACATAAATAGATGGAGACACAGAGACAGACGCAGCCCAAGCTTTCCTGAGCTGCAACTCGCTTCACTACGTGCTGCCTGAGACAGCTGCTGCCTAGCCTGAAACAAAAGGCAGGATAAATTTTCACTTTATAGACTAGCCGAAGTGTGTATGTGTACACACACGCGTATATACACGTGTATATAGATATAGACAGATAAAGAGACAAGAGACAAACAGACGCAGCCCAAAGCCGCCCACGTTTACACCGCGTCCCCGAAGGCCGGTGCGCCCCGGTCCGCGCATGCGCACCACAAGCTTTGAAGCCGCATAGCCCTCAGTCAGCCGCTACCAGAGCGCAAGGCCGGGCCCACCCCAGGCTGGTCCGGGGCGGTAGGGAGGCGGCGGGCGCACGTACCGTGCAGGAGGCCGCGGCGCAGTTCGACTGCCCCCCCCGGGGCGCCACCCACCGCGCGCTGCAGCGGGCCCTCGGCCGCGAAGACGGGCTGCAG